CTTTGAGATCGGCTTTTACAATACCCGTGTCTTTGACAGGGCATCACGATCTCAGCTATGAGCGGGGAAGGTTCTGAGGGGCCATACGGCCCTATGCAGTTCGATCGCATCTATCCTGCCGGCCCGGCACAAGGCATCTGGCGAGAGTTGCAGCAGACCACTGCTGATTTCAGGCAGCTCTTGGCATCAGTGCCAGGCGAGAAGCAGAAGACGGTGAAAGATCTTATTCAGCAGCTCCCGAAAGAAGTGAATGTACAACAACTGGTACGTAACATCAGGTCACGTTTTCAACAACTGGAGAATGCAAAAGCTGTGGCGGAGAAATATGAAGGATACAACCGGGATGACACCATACCTCCGCAACTACGAAGCTCAGCTACAATGCAATGGCCAAGCTTTTATCTAATGTGTGCCAGCCCTGTCACGCACGAGTATGACATGGAGTTCTTGCAAGACGCCGAGAACTACAAGGTGGACGTCAGGTTTCAAGACCTCGTACGGAGTCACCAGAAGTCACAGCGTGAATTTCTTCGTTTGCACACACAGCAGTGCCACCAAACAGCAATTGATCGCACTTCCATCGCTGCGCTCCAGTCGATGGCGGATGAGATTGTGTTTGTTCATTGCGAAGTTTATCTTGGAGATTACGAGGAAGGGGTATTGGCACAAAAGAAGAGTGATTTGACCAAGATTCTCTATGACCTGGTCGCGCTACTACGTGAACAAAATCTTTTCCAGTTGAAGTCAAGAGCCAAGAAAGAACAGGACAAAAAGAAGAAACGCGTAGAGGCTCTGGCCAAAGCGGAGCTTGCTTGGGAAGCCCTCCCCCCTACAGCCCTTGTTGGTTTAGCCGTTCACCAAGAAACCAGTGGTGGCTCTACCACAAGTCGTGCGCACGGACAAGAGAGGATTTCTGTGGGAAGCAACCAAGTGCTTAGACGATTACTTCAGCCACACGAGGCTCAACTGAAAGATTTAGGCTTTGTTCTGGATGCTTCCTCGCAGTCCTCCAACACGAAGCCCAAGCAGCGTGGCAGATCTCCATCCGCAGAAACTACATCGCCAAGATCTATCTTGAAGCCTTCGAGGACGCGCCCTCCTACCCCACGTGGCACTCGCCCGCACAGGTCGCCAAAGGGTTCGAAGTCGCGTTCTCCGTCGAGGTCGAGCACAGAATCTAAGGGCAAAGGACGTGAGTTTCCGGTTGGAGGATACAAAGGAAAAGGCAAAGGCAAAGGAACTCAGGAGAAAGGAAAAGGAAAAGGAAAAGGTCTTGGCAAAAGCAAAGGACAGGGCAAGCACAAAGGAAAGGACAAAGGAAAGGGCAAAGGAGGACAGCGCCACGTGCGCTTCCGAGAGTGACAAATCAAAAGAGGTCGCAGTCGTGGTCGTGGTTGGTGGTCTTGTACAGAGGACTGTCACATCGACATGGTTAAGTTTGTTTTCGCGAGACTGCGACGCTCTACACTCGCAGATATTATTTACAAGCCACTTTTCCAGAAAGTTCACAATCATTTGCCATTCCCAGTTCCTACATCGGTGCTATTACTTCTTTCCAAAGGCTTGAAGTATGTGCCGGATCTACAAACAGCACACTGGACTGATTTCAACGCTGTCGGTAGGAAATTGCAAAAAGCACTTGACTGCCGTGCGTTCTTCGGAGATCGTCCTATGCCCCCTAAGCGATTCGCCAAGCTTCGTCTACAATCAAATTGGTCACCACCGGAGACGACCCGTGGCAAACTAGTACACAGTATGTTCCGTCATGCCATTGAGCAATGGCACCCAGTGGCTAAGTCTCGGAACTGGTCTTTCTGGGATCGCCAAGCCATGAAATGGCTGAAGCAACATCGTTCCTCGGTCAAGGTTTGTGACTCAGACAAGAACATGGGTGTTTCTCTTCACACACAACAATGGGTTCGAGCGAGGAGCCTGGAACACATCCGACAAGCTTGCACACTGCTCTCTCATGATGAGTGGACTACAACTACGCGTGCTGCCATTGGTGATGCACAACAAGTGTTAGCTGGCCTTCGAAGGGTTGGTCTATGCACCGATGCAGAGATCAGATACATGCGTAGTTTCTTTGAGAAGCCAAGTGCTGGCCTTTTCAGGTTGTTACCCAAGCTCCACAAAAGTCCCATTTCGTCACGCCCGGTTTTCACGTCGGGAAAAAGTATTTTCCGAGGTCTGTCGGAATGGTTGGTGGTTTTGCTTGAGCCGATGCTGAAGCATTATTTCACGATCGCCACGAACTCCGATGAAGTGCAAGCCCAATTACGATCCTGGAGCGATGAGTGGCGTAGTCACAGCGGTTTCCGCCCGTGGCCAACTCTGCAGTTTGCAACTTTGGACATCGAATCCCTGTATCCAAGTATTGATCTTACCCATTTGCGCCAAGTCATCAAGAGTCAGATTTTCAAGTACTACGATGGCGACAAGGCTTGTCAAGTTTCTGCGCTGCTGGATTTGGTTTTGCGTATTAATGACATTGCTTTCGAAGGCGAGATCTATCGGATTTGCAAAGGCCTACCAACAGGCTCTCCGGTCTCCGTGGTTTTAGCCAACCTGTATTTGGTTGAACTCGATGCTACACTACGTGGGACTCCGGGTCTTTGCTTCTACAAAAGGTATATCGATGATTTGCTGTTGCTGCTTAGCAAAGATTGTATTGTGGACGTCATTGCTCGACTGCACAGTTTCCACCCGAATATTCGTGTACAGTTGTCTGCGCAAGGCACTCAGCATGTTCCTTTCTTGGATCTGCAGCTAAGCATTGACGATGAGGCCAACATCAGCCACGAGTTATTCATCAAACCTCAAAATCTTTTCCACTATGTGCCTTTTACATCTTGTCATCCGCCATTTGTATTCAAAGGTGTCGTTCAAGGCGAGTATCAAAGATATGTCCGACGCTGTTCCTCCCAGAAATCTGCAGAAGTGCATGTCAGATTACTTCGAAATCGCTTGCTTCGAAGAGGCTACCCTCATGCCTTGCTCATGCAGAACACATCTCGGAGAGTGCAGAGGTATATCAACAAGCCCGCCTTACAGGTACACGCAGTTGTCAGATACAGTCGCAGCGTAAATCCTTCCAGGCTACGGGAGGTGCTCAAGCCTATCTTTCGTATTGTGCCTCAACTTCGCCTTTCATTTCGAGTCCAGAAAAATCTTTTCCGCTTGCTTTACGCACAATGGCGGTGACACTATGCCGGTGATTTACACCAGAGTTCACCAGACATGATTTTCGCCACACACTGCTGGGTTGTGGAATTTGAGGAGGGTTGCAGTGTTTGAAAGGCTACCGCCGCCGC